GTAACGATATTATACACTATAACAAACAAAAAGATTATCAAAACAGCTAAAATTTCTTAAAACATCAAAACACCCAAAAAAAACTTGTTGCCTATATGTCATGGTTGAGATACTATATTAATAATGTGCTCAGGTAATTAATTCTAAATAGCTGTTGACGGTCTGAAAAAAAGTTGTCTGAAACTTAATAAAAAAAAACTTAATAAGAAAGTCCTTCTACTCAAGAAGATGCTGTTGTGGAGACAACAAAAAAAAAAAAAAAAACGAAAAGCCCGTAGCTAGATTAAACTCTAAAATTTTCTTTTAACAATAAAAAGCTTACTTTGTTACATCTTGCTTACTTTTTTACTATAAATATGTGCTGGTACTGCTTTTCAAAACGCCCCAAAAAAAACGCAATTAAAAAGCAATTGTTAGGAGAAACTCTTTTATTATAATTTTTATGATTTTTTTCAGAACTCTTAAAAAAATATTCATCTCCGTTTGTAGACATTTTAACTAGCTTATTTTGTAAAAAAATCAAATTTGATTTTTTTTACCTTCAGGTGTTTTGAAAAACGGCTGCAGTATGGATGATACAATTCTAAGTATTGGTGTTCGATAAGAAACATTATATAAATGTTTTTAATTTTAATATAAACTATTTTCTTTTTAAACTCTGTTACAATCCTTATATATATATATATATATATATATATATATATATATATATATATATATATATATATATATATATATATATATATATATATATATATATATACTTTAATATATTAGTAAATAGTCAAAACAGTAAAAAAAGAATTTTTATATAGAAAAAAAAGTTGAAGTAATGACCAGAAAAATACAATAAATGTTGAATATATTTATCTAAAGTTTAAAAAAAAAATTTAAAGTGTTCAGTCAGTTTAAAAAACAATTGATTACAAATAAATAAACAAATCTATGATTTACACTAAAAAACGTAATAACAATTTTAAGTAAAAATAAATATAACGTTTAAGCACGCTAAAAAAGTTTTTACCCCTTTTTATTTATGTTTTTGTAAAGTTTTTGTATTAATATACTAATTTACATTAAAAACAAGTCTACATTATTGACTTTTCAAAAATTAAACATAAAATAAACTTATTTCATAAAAAAATATTGCCTCTGGTTAAGAACCGTAGTCATTTTAAAAGTTCAAAAGTTTTTCGTATTTACTTACGCATGCGTACCTAAACGTAGTAATTTTAAACGACTGTGAGTAAAATGAGAATACTTTAAAATTTTTTCTTAAATTTTAGAAGATACTTTTGCTACATTATTTATTTTTTTTTACTAAAAATATATAAGCAAGGTTGAAAAAATTTCAAAATTTATTACTCAAAGAGGAGGTCTTAAAACCTCCAAAACAACACTGATGACAGCGCACTTAACAACTGAGTTATCAATGAAATGTATTTAGCAAAACAGCAAACCTCTACGTATGCGAAAAAGGTGCGGTGTCAATTTATTTTGCTTTTAAAGTTTTTTTCAGAACATTGTTATTTTACTTAAAATTGTTGAAGTAAATAACGAATAGGTAAAAAAATAACCGGTGTTGAGGTATTTATAGAAATTGAAGGTTTGGTAAAGACCCGTGTTTTAGGGATCCAGAAAGCTAAGTTATATGAAAAAATAGTAAAAAAAAGATTGGTTTGGAATAGACTTAAGAAGACCCATATTTTTACGGGTCCAATCTTAGCTAAATTCTAATAATAATGAACAGTGGTTATATCATTTAATCTTATCTAAAAATTTTATAACAGTTTCCAAAGTCACGTTGTAATCAAAATAATTATAGCTAATCGCACCTATGAAACAGTGGAACAATCGCTTAAGATCTGAGTTAGAATAAGGAGGTTTGTATTTTAATTGCGGCTCTAGACCTATGATTCCATTGATAAGAAAGGAGTCGTTGACTTCCTGTTTATGAGGGCAGAATAAAAAGAGAAAAAAATTGATTTTTAAAACATTTTTTTTAGCCATTGATAAACTAAGTTTTTAATTTTTTGAGATATTCTGTTTTTTAATATTTTATATTTCACTATTTAATATATATATACTGAATTTTTGAAGCAACCCATGTACCTATGCAATCTTTTTTCATCTATTAGGTTGAGCAAAGGTATTTTTAATACATTATTTTCAGTTTAAGATGTTGAACACTGGATCTTTTAGACTCAACGCATGGGTTTTGCTAGTGTCTCTGATTTTATGACAAAGCAACTCATTCTGATACATCCTAATAAGGGTACAGCTCTAAAAATCAGTTTTATTTTTCTGAGTTTGGCTGATAGTCAGGTTTACCAAACTCTTTGGTAGCTTTCAGAGAGGCTGATTCCATCAGCAGCTAAAAAATATCACAGTACTAACAGTGCCATGCTGCGCATGAATAGAGTCCCTGTTTGTACTTTTGGTGTGCATTGTCAACGCTACATTAGAGTCCTTTGGTACGGCTTAGGGTTTATTAATAGTAAATAGGCAAATGCTTGAACTATTAAATAGCGTACTGAGTACTATCTGTTTCAAGTTCTCTAAAAAAAAAGTAATGCAAAAAATTATCAATACGTGAATTATACAATACAAACCTACGTGAACTTTGTAAGACTAATTTAAGTTCAGGTGACTCTCTTGTGATTATAGTGTTGATGGTTACCGTCATTTAATTTGTTCACATGCTTGCCCTTGGCTTTTAATACATTTGTAAAAATTCACCCACTTATTAGAAAACTAGGTTTAAATCCACAGACTAAAATTATATGTGCTTTTGTTTGGCACCACTTTATTCTGTTGCTTCTGTTTTTGTTCTATGCTACCTTTTTTAATCTTAAGACTGCATTCTTTTTGATGTTATTTCTGATCAAATTGACCAAGCCCTCTATTTTTATCCGTTAGTGAAGTTGTTGATGACTTTAATGCTCGTCACACTAAATGACTTGGTTCTAGTGTCAGTAATTTTGCATAAGTTAAAGCCCTCAACTTTTACCTTTCTTAACATCTAACTCAAATAGCCAACTTTCTTTGCTTTCAAGACATGGCGTATCGAGACAAATCAAGTTCAATTTCTCTAAAACCATTATCTCATTCTTCTTCATTATCGGAATTCTTCTATCATTGTACCTCTTACAACTACCTTAAAGCTGATTGAGGCTCTTTTGGTGATATTATTTGTGATGACCTTTAGATAGAAATCATATGTCTTTTTGCGGACCAATGTGCTTCTCACATAACTTATGGAATTTTATATTTGCGCTCAACAATTCCAAGTCAAATTTAACTCTTCTCCATGATTCTCCTCATATTACACTGCCGCAGTCTAATTGAAATCGTTACTAACATATCTGTTAGCAAAATAATCTTCAGAAAACAGACGTCTGTTGACTATGCTAGAAACTATTGAAAAAGGTTTGTCTAACGCCGAGGCTCTCATGACTTCTGGAAAATCTTTAACAATATTAATAATTCGGGCAAATCCTTTTTTCCACCTCTCTTGTATGTTGTAGAATTTGTCAACTTATCTAAAGACAAAGCTGAATTTTTCACTAAGAACTTTTCATCATTATCATTTCTTGATTCCATAAGTTGCGTACTACTTGATATAGCCGTCAAATAGGTTGATCCATTGCATGACATTCTTATCTCTCCAGCTTTAAAGTCATTTCCTGCTTAGACTCTTCTACAGCTTGTGGTCCAGACAATATACCTGTTGAGGTCTTGAAGAATTTTTCCCCGGAGACGTCATCTATACTTTCAAAAATAGTTAACAAGTGTTTATCGGAATCTTGTTTTCTGGAAATGATGGAAATCAGCATCTGTCATCCCTATTTTCAAAAATTCTGGATTGCAATCTGACTCGTCTAACTACCGTCCCATTAGTCTAAGTCCCTTCATAAGGTAAGTTTTTGAGTCTTACATTAATAAACTTTTATTCTGTAATCTTGAATTTAATAACTTAATGTTTGATCATTAATATGGATCTTCTCATTATACAGCTGATTTGCTAACAGTAATAACCGATAGGTTTTATTGTGCATCAGAGAGAGATGGAGATTTTTATAAAGTTTTTGTTCTTCTGCATAAGCTTTCTTCTTACGGTGTAATGGTAACATCTTAAAGATTATTGAGTCATTCCTACCGTAGTACCTAAATTTTCCTCGACGGAAAGCACTTCATATTATGTAACTTCAGGGGTTCCTCATTGTTCAATCCTTGGTCTTATAATTTTTTTTATTTTACATTAACAATCTCAAGGTTCAATCTATGGTTCTATACTCTTTTTAATTTACATTAAAAATCTTATCACATCTTAAGTGGCGTTGTTTGCTGATAATACAACTATTTATTCTTGTCACAATAAGAAGCCAACACTGATTGCTTAGAGGGGAAACTTGAGCTTTAACAGTATCTCACTTCCAGTACAGTATGGAGCTCACTGTTGCTGGTGAACTTAATTTTAAATAAAACCCAATTTTTTCTAGCCATTCGTTATTGAATTAATTTAGATCTTCCTATAATTACGAAAGAAAATGCACTCGATGAGTCATCTACCCTTCATTTTTACACTCTTACTTCTGATCCTTTTTGGAAACAGTAAATCAATTCCATTGCAAAAATAGCGTCACTAAGATTGCATCTCTTTATTGTGCTTGACAATAACTTCCAACTCTAATAGTAGTTGCGTGCAGCCTTGTTGGAAGCAAAGATGTTGAAAAAAAATATTATTTATGAATTTTATAACCGTGTTTATACAAACATTAAGGTTCAAATAGAAAAGATTTTAACACTAACAATGATTTTAGTGAAATGACGACTGTAACTTAAGCATAGGTTAAGAAAATATTCATTTATAATAATTAATTTTGTTTAGAGGTATTACAACAAGTTTAGTTTCATGCATTAAAATTAAAGTTCAAATTTTAAAAAAATAATGTACATGAAAAACATTTTTTATTCCAAAATCATTTTTTTCTTTGTAGCTTTATATTCTTTATACATTTTCAACAGTTCTTTAACCGTAATGCCACCGATTTCACGATTATGGATTTATATTTTACTTTAATAATAAGTATTGAATATAAATGAATGACGAATATTGTAAGTTTCTTTGGTTTTTTTTTATATATTTACTTTTTATTATAACATTGCATAATTTTTATTATAGAATTTTCATTGAATTTGTTAAATGAAAATAACACCAAATATCAATTGTATTTAACTTTGAGCTTCTTTAAAATATGATTGTTAGTTTAAATATTTAAAAGTTATTTATATTTTTTTTTAGGATAGTGTAATCATAATAAGAGTAAAACTGTTTTTAAGTGTTTTAAAAGTGTTTTTAAGTGTTTTAAAAGTGTTTTTAAGTGTTTTAAAAGTGTTTTTAAGTGTTTTAAAAGTGTTTTTAAGTGTTTTAAAAGTGTTTTTAAGTGTTTTAAAAGTGTTTTTAAGTGTTTTAAAAGTGTTTTTAAGTGTTTTAAAAGTGTTTTTAAGTGTTTTAAAAGTGTTTTTAAGTGTTTTAAAAGTGTTTTTAAGTTCTTTAAGGGTTTAAAAATATTGAAACTGCCATAACATAGTTTTGTTTACAGGATTACGATCTATCCAACTTAAATCTCGTTAAGTTTGTTAAACCTTCAGACTGCCTAAATGAGAATTGAGTCTGGGTTTAGTCATGCATACACATATATTTAAATTATTTTTAGATTTGTTTTCTTTCAAAAAAGAATACAACATAGTTCGTAATAAACTTTTTCACACAATTGAAAATTTTCCTAAAGAATATGTAACAACATTTGAAATCTGTTTAACTTCATTTTCTACTGGAAACGCTTCGTCTGCATCATCAAACGTATTTTATTTTACAAATACTAATTACACTTATTGTGTTTTGGGTATGTGGTTTACTCCAAGTGGTGAAATGCAGTTATCAGCAATTATAAACAATACATCATACAATATAACAACTGAGCCGTTCAAGTTAGGATGCAAAAAATATAAAATAAGTCAGATATTATATCATGGATACTATATTTTTACTATACAAGTTGATGAACTGATTCTTTCAAGAGTCAAAAATATTGCTCCGCAAGAGTTTGCTAACGTACAAATGTATATTTCCAATCCATTGTGTTTAGCCCAGCCGGGGCTAATAAGAAATTTAATTATAAGAAAAGGATGTTCAGGTAAGGATAATTTTGTTAAGTTGAATTTGATAGGATTTTTGATTTTTTTTTCGCTTATTTACAGTTTTATATAATTCGTTTTACAGTTTTTTTTTTGTATTAAATGCATATTAAAAAATTTTCAGAATACCTGTTATTCACAAGTGCGTTTCTTTGGTTAATAAAATTTTCATCAATAGCAGCTTTAATAATATACATAACATAAACAACCTTAATATAAATGCAATAAATGCATAAATTTAAATAATAACAGATTTTATGCTCTATATAAAAAAAAGACCTCTTCTGGTTCTAACCAAGACAGAAGCAGTAGACTGATTAATTTCCAGGATTTGATTTAAAATCAGTCGTTTCTGAGCAAAGCTGATATGATTTTTTGATTTGAATTTCATACAACATAGAGATAATTACGAAACATTTCAAGAAACGAAATTCCGAATAGGCCAATGAAAAATGAAGGAAGCATTTCTAAACTATTTATTAACAGTCATACGCTGTTCCTACTCTTAAATTGTGGGTACGCTTTTGACCTAAACTAAGCATTAGTTCTTAAAATCACATTATCATTTGTATAAATACTTCTTTTTATAAACTACTCTGTTACAGAAGTTTACCAAACACACTCATTTTTTAACGAGTGACTGTGTAAATTTATCACATATATTATATGTGATAATAAATATACCTCTAGCGCATGCTGGTATATTTAACAATACTTTAGTAAAACAAAAAACATTTTTCGGCTAAAGTATTATCACATATATCAAATTATCAGTGGAAACTGTAAGTACAATTTACATTGATACGTAGCTACAACAATAACAATATATTTACGAAAAATAAAGATAGATTTACTCTATCTATACTTTTTTTTTGTCTATTATCTATTATCACATATATTACGTGATAACAGATATATTACCGTTACAGTTTGCACTGATGAAATGTAAATGATAACATCATTTAACAATAGCATATGATAACTGCGATAGTGCTTTAACTGAACAATTTGTTTTCTTATAGCCTAATGTTATACTAATATTATATTCATAATATTGATAGTATATAAAAAAGTAATATAATATTAATTATATATTATACTAACAATAATATTATGTTAATGAAAAAGGCGCCGGTACACATGAGATATTTTATCAAAAGGATATCTCCTCTGAAGAGATATTAATATGCTAAAACATTTGACATATATCACAAAAGCTATATGAAGACATTTTATCTAGTCTCTCGTATATACCTAATTATTCCTAACAGAATATAGTTATAGTTTATAAGTTTTTATTAAAACAAGATGAAAATTTTAAAAAATTTTTAAAGTTGCACAAATGAAATAAAGACTTTTCACCTAACTTCTTCTTTAATTTATTATTTATATAGCGATTTTAGTAAACGCTTGCGCTCTTTTTTTTTTTACTGTTTTTGTTTGTTTTTCTGTTTTGTGTCTGTTTTTCTTGTCATTTTATTTTTGTGTTCGTTTGTTTTTCTATTGTTTTTTTTTGTTTTTCTGTTAATTAAAAAGTAATAAAGTTGAACAGAAGTTTGTTCATTTAATACGCTTCTTTATTTGTATAAAACATATACTCTATAAAATATTACTTCACAAGTTTGCAAAACAGTTTTTCAAAGTAACATATTTTCAACATATATGTTTGAAAAAGTTCTTACTAAAACTTTAAGCATATCTCAATTATAAGAAATGTCATAATAGTTAGCAGTTAATTCTTTTTAGCAGCTAAATAAAAAAGGATAGATTTAGTTTTATCATTAATTAATGGTAGTTTGTTTTGCACCATTTACAAACTTGAACAAGTTTAGTTTTGATGTTGTTAAATAATGTCATTGTGTTACTAAGATTTTATCTACTAAACCTCAATTTAATATGTGAATAAGAATCAATTTTTTTTAAATTTACAATGAAGCCTCATTTAATAACCTCCCAGATTCCACTTAGACGTTGGCCCAACGTCGCACAGAGACTCAGGACAATGAAAAAACGGCAAAAAATAAAAAAAAAATTCGACATAAATCGTAAATAAATGTTATATATTAAAATAATAATTTTTAAGTCAAAGATTTCAAATTTAATAATAATTTTTTTTTAACGCGCAGCTTTGACGCGTTAAATGCGCGCTTACGCATGTTATAGGTGACTACAAAATACAAAAACATAACTTTGATATATTACTCTACTTGATATTTTTATAAAAATGGTATTTAAAGGATGTTGATACATTTTTTACATTAAATTTATTATTTACATTACAACTAATTTAAAAACTTCATCTGGTAACGGTTTTCCTCGATAGCTCTTATGTTTTATAAAAGATATGCTTGATATTTTTGGATCTGATCTTACTAGAAGGTAGTGCATCTGATTCATCATTGTGTTTAACCTTGATATTTTTGCCGTGTGCTTAAGTCTAGAATTTCTTATCTGTTTATTTAAACTCTTTAGCGCATCTTCCGAATATACCCCGATTGGCAAAGGTAATTTGTTTGATATAGAAGAACTATGCAGTAGCAGTTTATGTACAGCAGGAGGCATAACATACCAGTTGTATAAACTCACTATACGTTTAGCTGTTTCAGTGCAGTATAAATCTAATTCATTGATATTAATAGGATATCCACAAGATATGGTTGTGAGAATATTATGCAATCTTTTAATTATATCACAATCAACTTTAGTAATTTCAGTAAAAACTTCACTATTTTTAAATGCTCTTCTGGCAGTGTTGCCGTCATTCGTGTTTCCAGACCCAGTTTTAGGAATATCAACGTATAGGCTTAACCGTTCTCTGAAGAGTACCTGAATCTTAAGTCTACAAAGAGTTTTTCCTCAATTGTTTTTGGCTTATACTTTTTAATTTCAATTTTATAACTCAAATGAAGAATAAACTCCAAGCATTTTATCCAGCAATGCAAAGTTGAAATTGCGAGCCCCAAGGCCGAGTCATTCTCAGTTTTTGCTTTTAATAAATCAATATTGTTCATTTCCTTGGGTTTAGCATTGCACAGTTTGCAAGATTGAGTGGATTTTGCCTCTATAAGTGTGCTAACTACTTTATTATCAAACATTGTAAGATCAATCCTATAGCTGATATTAAATGTCAAAATTTTTCCTGCAATATTAAAAACTTTGAAAAACGTCTTTAAGGTATTTATTCGATTTTTTAGATCTGATTCTCCTTCTCTGGATAAAATTAGACTCTTTTTTTCATATTTTAGATGATGAGTTCTTCAAAAGTGACATATTGAAGGATTATCATTTATCCAATTTTCGCCATCTTCTACTTTGAGCAATAAAGGCACAAAAGCTCTACTGAAAAGATTTTCTTCATGCTTAAGTTCTATACTTGCGTTGTTTGTATCGTATTTCTGTTTATAAATACTTTGGCTTGATGCTCCATCAAAACCAATCTTTCCATATAAAACTCCAAATATTTCATCACTTTGACCAAAATTAGGCATATCAGTCATTTCTGTTATTTTACTCACAGTATGATCTAACATGCTTTGAAGAGTGCACTTTGCAGAAATTTAAGAAAAATGTATATTCTCAGGATTGCATTTCAATTTTTTCACGAAAATATAGTGCAAGTTATGATAAATATGTACGTTGTGAACAAGAACTGAGTTTCTGATCATTTGATATTGTTTATCACTGAGATCAGTATTCATTTTTAATGCAAGAGCATCCTCTACCCTCATGTTAATGGAAAAAGTTTTATCCAAAGTTTTATCAACTTTTTCTATCTCTAAAACATTAGATATATTGTTTTTTAAAACAGAGGCTTTTTAATTCTGCAGCAGCATTTGCACTTTTTACAGAAGCTAAAACTAGAGCTTCATGATGTTCAGTGGC